GCAGGAGTACCAACCCACATCTATTACAAACCGAAAAAGCGCCGATGAAAAGAGCCGCTAACTTCACGACGGTATTGAACCACTATATTATTACTACACACACACTACCAGCGTCCAGCACACTGATACTTCGCACTGCCCGCACGGCTCACGGTTGGGTTTGTTTGTTTTTTTTTTGTGGCTAAACTCATGAATTTAAAGATAAAGAAAGGGATTTCTCTTTAATTTTCTTTTCCATGACGGCAGTTAAGTACAGTTAGTTGGTGTTAATCCTTACAAGATTGTTAAGTTTTGTAGAAGATTTCTCCAAGCTAATCCACCGGTGTTTTTGCTTGATAAATTTTAATCAGTTTTTAATTTGTTTATTGTCAGCTGCTTTTAACCCGCGGAACTCTGGTAGTTTCAGTTTGTCTGTCTATCAAACAAACACTAGCTAAGTTAAGGGGGGCAGTGAGTGCATTCACCTTTTTCAAGTGAGCCAGTCAGCCACAGCCAGTGCCGGGTTCGTTCCTTTCCCTTTTGAGTTTGAATGTCGCAACAGCGGTCAATAGTGTACACAAATAACAACAATAGAAGAAATTGCAACGGTGCTTCGGAATATATTTATTAAACTTAACTGGTTTTGAGCTAGCTAGGCCTATAAGCTAGATAATACAGACTTTGACTTTGGTGCATCTTTTATAAGCCTTAGATAACTTAAGTTACTTTTAGACCCACTACAGAATCAAGATTTATAATGCCTTCAATTTACAACCATGAAAATATGTGTTGGGGAATCCGAAGATCATCCCCAGATATGTTTCAATATGATTTAAATGAATTTCAATCTAATACGTCAAGGGAACTTGGTTGCAAATCAAGTCAATCAGAATCAACCAATGCTCCATATGTTCAGTATAGTGTGTCATCTAATGGTTATTATGGGTACCAGCCTCATCAAGCTGCCCCGGCTGTATCCAACACGGAAGTTAGCATGGATGTTGAAGACATGGATGTAACTCAAAGTCCAAATAGTAACCTTACAATCAACAATAACAGTTCTACAGGTTGTGCCTATGTCCATCCAGACCCCACACTTAATATTTTAAGAAGAAAAAGACAAATGACATGCGACTCCTCAGATGGACCAAAGCGAAGTCGACAAGAGGGTAAGATAAGTTATTACAGTATTGTTAATATTATATTTTTTTTACCTATCTAACATCTCGCTTAACCCTCGAGGAGGCGCGTCACCAGTAAAACAGGAGCGGGCGCATGCAGAGTTTTTCTCCGGAGTTTTATTCCGCAACACTAAATACTCTTAGGGTATTTATTCCGTATAGGTGCCTCCGAACGAATTTTTAATTTTGATATCCTACTTTATAGTTTTTTACCTCCTGAATCCAAATAGCCTAACTTATACCATTATTTTTCACCGCTGATGAATATTTCTCAAGATATCGCCGTAAAAACATACCTAACATTACAATAAACAAGATAAGATGGATAACATTTCAAGTGATTCTGTAGTCAAATAACTTAATGTTCTCTATAATAGGAATTTCGTCACATTATGGAGATATAACTTAGATGGACTGGTGGACTAATTACATGTAGTTCTTATTTAGGCATGTCAGGGTGGTAGGTCGTGCTGTATGTGAATTGGTGACTGCATTAAGTGTTTTGAAGTTAGGTTAGATTAGGAAGGTAAAGTTTAGGTTATAATGTATCGAGTTGTTAGTTTATGTTGTCTGCAGACTGTTTTTGTAAAATTAAAATCCGGAGAAAAACACTTCAAATTGCTTGCATTTTTGAAATAGTAATTTGAAGTGTTTTTCTCAGGATTTTAACTTTACAAAAACGGTCTGCAGGCGACATAAACTAACAACTTGATACAATATGATAACCTAAACTTTAACTTACCTAATCTAACCTACCTTCAAAGGACAATGCAGTCACCAATTCACATAAAGCACGACCTATCACCCTGACATGCCTTTTCTGACATCAAAAGGAGTTTGCTTAAACACATTCTAGAGGTTTGGTTAGGTTAGGTTACGTTAGAATCACACCATTTTATTATATAATTTCTAAACGGTGAAATATAAATCAATAAATCATTAATAAGTAGGTATAAAATACTGATAACAATAATACATTATTAACTTATTGGTCGTAGAAAGTGAATCAGGTGATTTTCATATTGCAGAATCAGAGTTAGCTAATAAAAGTTGTCACTTCCATTTGCTTGACTATAATTGAAAACAATCAGCTGTTGGTTTACTTAACCCATCCCATAGTTGAGTTCATTCCACTTGTAAATGGGGTCTGACTTAGGGGAGGTACAAATGAGGCATTTAGTTCAAAATTCCTCCGTGAACAGCGCTGTAGTAGAGAGCACTTTGGCAATAAAGGTTTACTAATCGCAAAAATAGTTCTGTTCATAAAATAAAATTATAAATGCCTCAAATTCAATTTTACTATTTTTAATTATAAAATTAAACTATCATAACCTAACCGAACTAACCAAACTTGCTGATAAAGAAATAATATAACAAAAGTTTAGTAATCGGAAAAATAATTCTGTTTATTAAATAAAACTATAAATTGCTCAATTAAAATTTTATAATGTCTTAATAATAAAATTAAACTGTAATAACCAAACCAAACCAACCAAACTTGCTGATAATAAAAAAAATCTTGGACAAAAAGTTAATGCTACTAGCGGGATTCGAACCCGGGACCTATAGTATACCAGCCCAGCACGCTAACCATTAGACCACCGAGGCCGATGGCTACCGAACGTTTTGTTACGGTACCTAATGGCGTTCCCTCAGCTAATAAGAAGCCCTCAGCTGTCATCGTAGCCTCTTCTATACCTCCCCTGAGTAAATACCTTGTAAATGTCATCCATCCTACCTTGTTTATTGTAATGTTGTATATTATTACGGCGATATCTTGAGAAATATTCATCAGCTGTGAAAAATAATGGTATATTTGGATTCAGGAGGTAAAAAACTATAAAGTAAGATATCAAAATTAAAAATTCGTTTGGAGGCACCTATACGGAATAATTACCATACTTAGTATAAATTTTACCCATTTTACTTGTTGTTATAACAAAATATTACTTTTGTAAATGTTGAATAACTTCATCTAAGTTTAATCAGAAACTTAATTTCTTTGTTACAGTAGTAAAACTATTTGTTTAACTTAGGCTAATATGAGTAATATTTCAAATAGGCCTATATAAACATATTGAGCAATTTTCTTGTACAAAGGTATCACTGTCGGTGTTACGAGAGAGGGTGCGTGCGGAGTTTTGTACCGTAATACTGTAATGCAATTATACATATAGGCCTACATGCAAACAAAATATTAATGCAACAAGGTAGTTTTAACTTAGGTATTGACTAAGCGCCAGCATTATAACATTTGAACTTAATTCAAGGCTTTAGATGTCTACGTCTGCCAGAGACTTTAATTGAGTTTGCATTATGCCTACATTAAATAAAATACGGTAATCATAATTCTGGCAACTTAAGTTACATAAATACCATCTGGGGTGCAATGTGTGCCTTGAAAAACTAAAAGTTAGTCATATACTAGACTAGAAGTTAGTTAGAGATCATGTACAATAGGCTAGCCAATCTTAAAGCTTAGGTAGGTGTGATGATCCTTCGGTAATTGAATTGATCTCAGACGTCTCAGGCTCGGTTATGTAGGTCCCTAACCTGTTGCAGTGGCCCAGCTTCATATGTTTAAGTTAGTTTTACCCACTTTTTCGTAATAGTGTGTTTAATATTTCTATAGTATACAAATCGACAACTTATAAACTTACTTTTAGGCTATGTTAATACAATAAGGATTTTCTCTATCGTCCCATTTTTGCCCAGATCCTTCTTAACTTAACCAATTTTAAGTTATGATTGATGTGCCATTGTTAAGATATTTAAAATGAAGATACTAAAAGAAAGAAGAGTGAGGAGACTGAAATTGTGATTTACTTAAGGTCTCCCCCCCCCCCACCATAGTATTAACTTCACAATTAATTCTTATGATTTCAACAATAAATGTATATTACATATAGATACGTGTTCAATTGGGACAGGAACATAGGCCTAATGGCATCGTACTTCCGGTAGTGTACACGCATCTCGTTCATTAAATAAACACAAGAAAAACAAATCCACAATAGAGCTAGAATGTAGCGCAGTAGTGTTTGGTCTCCAAACATTCCATTATCTAGAACATCGCCCCTTTAGACTACAAACAGACAGCTCGTCGTTAAAGTGGCTAAATATTGAATCATCCGCGACAGATTGGTAAGATTGCAAGATGGATAGCGTTCATCAACTTATTTCAACAATTTACGGCGGAACATATAAAAGGAGATATGAATCACATACCATTGGACCCACTGTCGCGTATGACGACAACAAGCCGACAAAAGTGACAATCTTCGCACCTGAAGTAAGAGACCCGACTTTCCTACCATACCTAAAATTTTTTTCCCTTTTTACTGTAAAACAGCTGATAGCTGGAGAACTTGGGGAGAGGGTAGGAAACGCCGTCAAATGAGCAGTAGTGTGATGGTGGAGTCTACCCGTGCGGTTCCACGCTGGACATCGTCGTCGAATTGGATTAGTTGTCTCTAGATTTAATTATTTAAAAATATGTTTTAATTTTTTCAGAAAGGGGGGGGGATTAAGGGGTTTAGGGAACTATTAACTGTATCAGCGTAATATGCGAATAAAATACTTTTCAGCACACTCGTACCCTTAAGATGCGAGTGGATGTTTTACTTGTTCTTAGCTTTCTTATAGTTCATCAGGTGTATTAGAAATATTGAATCATCAAAATGGCTGTGATGTGGATGTGGTTTGGCTCAGTAATTAATTTAACTTTATTATTATTCACCTCAGAATGTCACACGCATCTATAAATTGATTATATTGGGCCTTAACGATCCTTATGAGTCCAGTACCGTTACTATTAATTATAGTAAACACTTCACCTACTTAAGAGGCCTTAAACTTGAATTCCCATCTTGTGTACATGTCTGCGGAATACCCAATGGCCGCTGATGAAGCCAACCACTTTCCTCGCCCAAGGGCATCTGCCGCAAATGCCCCGGTAGGTGTCTGCAGCATTCTCTTTGACTGTACGTTGCCTTCTGTTCTACCCCAGCTCCTTCGATGTTCTATGCCCATCCACTGGCAAACAGAGTTCTCCGTGCTGTGTTGTAAGCAATTCCACACGTCGCCTCTGGACCCATGAGCTCCTTTGTTTGCCCACTTGTCAGCTCCCACCATTGCCAGCAACACCTTTGTGTCCTGGAACCCAATTATGGATAAACTTGTTCTCTCCCAGGGCTTTCATGGCCTGATGACAGTCCCATACTGCCTTAGAGGTAAAGTCAAAACTGTCAAGTGCCATTAGTGCTGATTTGCTGTCCGAACATTCCTACAGGTCTCTTTTGTACAGATCGAGCCTACAGTAAATTCTATGTGACTGTGATCCCACACTGAGTGGTCATCAGATACCCCCCATTTCACAACCTTTGTCGCCGCATAATTGCTAGCCAAAGTTATGTCCAAAACCTCTTCCTTTAGTACCACCCCTCTCCTCTTTCTAAAGGTTGGTTTGGATCCCTAGTTTAATATAATTAAATTAGATTAAGCTAAAGCTTAACAAGCTCTCACCTCTCTCATTGTTGTCGCTGCTCCCCCAGGCCATGTGATGGGCATTGGCGTCACAGCCCAACAACAGGTGTCTCCATTCCCTGGCTCCGTATTCTACAACCATCCTCATTTCTCCGGTCGGTGGTGGCTCCCGGGAGTAACACGGCAAGTATACTGAAGCAAGTAGGATTCTGACGTCACCGGCACTCATTGCCCGTATACCTCGGTCATGGCACAATCCCTAGAACAGAGATTAGTGACTTTTAGTGTCGTAATATTTCTACTGACAAAAATGCATGCTCTAGATTTGTCACTGTCAGTATCATATATCAACTCACCTTTTGGGGTGCCCATCCCCATGATTCTGCCTCCTGCGGTCCATGGCTCTTGGATCAGAGCCACGCCTATGCAGTCAGCAAGGATCTTCTGGCAAAGCGTAGCCGCCCTGCTGTGGTGGAGATTGATCTGGAGCACCGCAACCATCCTCTACTTGCAGGGATCTTTGCTCCCATGCAGCCTGAAGGTAACCCTCTCGCAGCCCAGGTATGGGCGCATCGCAAGATACTTAAGCTTCTGCAGGGAATTTTCATCAATTATCATGACCAGGAATTGTCCGCCAGGGTTTTAATTTTCCCCAACAACCGCCCAATGGTCCGTGTCAAGGTCGTTCTGTAGCTTGAGGACCTGCATCATGTCCTTCTTGGTCATTGCCCCCGTTGAGGTGGGAACAACTGCTGATACCTTCATAGCTTTCACAAGGTCGCTGGCAGCTGCTTATCCTGACGACCTTGCAATGAATGGCCCGCCTGGACAGCTCCCCCTTGATTTTGTTGGCTTCAGCCTCCGTCAGCTTCCTGTCCAGGTGGTCAGATCCGGGCCATCTTCTCCATGGACAGTGTCTCCTAATAAGTTGTGCCGGTGCTCTCTGCGAAACACCGACCCCTATACCTCATTCTTCTTCGTCTTCTTTTTCTCGTCCCCAGCATCCTCAGGTGTCAGGTGCTCTCGCCCCCCTCTTTCTCTTCCTGGAGGCTTCACTAGAGCCGGCTTCGGGAGTGCCGCCCTCACCCGCTTTTTCCCAGCATCCTGGTTCCCAGGGGAACTGGCTTTGCAGGGAGCAGGATTCGGGTTTTTGGCAGCCCACGCCAGCCTCCTCTCACTTCTGGATAGCACCTTTTTCGCTTTTGGCTAAAGCCTCCACTATCCTCTGTCTTCGCAACTCGCCCCTGAAAGCCAGCTCTCCACGAGCTTGTCGGATTCCTCAGATTTCAATAGACCTTCCTCCTACATTGGGCTCAGATCGTCTACATTCAGTCAAGAAATAGGAATGTTTTCGACCAGTCGGTTATACTCCTTGAACATCAACAGGTTTGGTCGGTGTTTTGTGAACTTCTATTTTGTTCCCACGAGTACAGGGTATCTAAAGGAGCAGAATCACACTGACGAATTTCAGTGTTTGTCCTTGGCTTTTGTGTATGTTCATTGCAAATGCTTCAACGTATGGGAAATTAATGACCGGTGCATTGCATTTCCAAGATGGGACTTGCTTGTATCTAAGGTAATCCGAAAAAATGTGAATAAATCTTCCAGAATGCCCTTTAGATATTGTTGGTTGATTGACCTTAAAAATGTGGTTGCATAGTTCCGTTTTGATTTCATCGAGTTCCGATGCACTTTCCTTCAGTAACGTCCAGGTTTCGCAATAGTATTATGATGATATTCTCCTTGAGATTTAGTTGTTGAGGTGGCAAATGGACAATATCGATGGAGTTCAAGAATTCGGGTGTAAATTGTAGAGTGGCGTCTACTTGGTCTTTAATTGAATCAAAACTTTTGTAAACCTTCTCATTGCCTGGTAGCATTTGGATACAGTAATGTTGTTTATCTTTCCAATTTCAGCATTAAGTGGAACAAGGTAAGCAAGGCTATTATAAATCTTTGAATATTGTCCGCTTGCAATTTGGGCGCCAAATGCTTCTTCAATAATATCTCTCATCTGCTGTGACTTTATTGGTTTGAGGAAATTCAGTGCGCTGACGTTCTTCCAAATGTCAAGCAACTGCTCAAGATGATAGGCTCATCATTTAGCTTGGCCATAAGATCTTAAATGATTTCTATATACTTTTATTCTTTGATGCGTGACTTGCCCATGAGATACGTACGAGTTGGTTGGAACTGGCTTGGTTGTAGACGAAGTGGTATAATTTCTTTCCCGACTATCAATTGTAGCTTCTCTCCCATGCAGATTATGGATATATTTTTGCTTCAGAGGTGACCCATGTTTAATTCTTCATATTGAAAATTAACCTTGAAAACACATAACACTAATATCAATGTACCTAATAAACAAAACTAAACATAACTAAAAAAAATATTATTTAAAAGGCTTAGTCCAAACTAACCAAATCAGTTATTTTTGTTTACTTATCAAATCATATGATGACATTAAAAATAACCTGTATCATCAAAGTTTGTTAACTGCAGCTACAAACGTGATTTTCCCCAGCCTTGCGACAAACTAACCTAACTTATACCCCATATTAAACAAAAATTTTAAAATCCTCGGACGAAAAAAAAAGTTTGCCTGTACATTCCCTTTTTTTGAGTAGCCTATATGATTATGAAAATCAATCGGGTAGAAGAGCCAAACCGAATTGGAAAAGAAAAACAATATTTTAATTTCAAGGGTACTAAATGTTTAGTTCTTTCATTAATGTATTAATACAATGAGTTCAAAAAATGTGGGGACATAATTTAAGTAGCAATTCATTGGGTCAAAATAAAGAGAAAATTAAGAAAAACATTTTTGCCAAAACCGCTTTGTTAACTAGAAATCCGCCACTTCGTATTTTTTACATTATCATTTTTATCTTTATTTTTTTTTAACCGATCTTTATGAAACTTGGTATGTAATGTTAAGGTAGAAGAGACCCATGCTGGAAATAAAATTCATCTTGAATCAACAAAAAATTTCAAAAAAATGGCTGGTTTTATGACAATTTTTCTAGAACACTTTTATTAAGCATTTTTAAATGATCCTAAATTCAAAAGATCTAGGCTATATTAATAAAATTAGAATTTTGTCTGTACATTGCTCAGCATCATAAATTTTTAGGTTATTTTTACGTTTTATACATTAAAGAAGTTGAAACAAGTCTCATCTAAATTTCTGTCTGTCTGTAACACTCAAGATGGCATTTTACGCATTCTTCTCCAGGAAAACGGGAGTACCTATCAAGATTCAAGTCATTTTAATGTATTCACTGGATTGGCGAGAATGTCTTTAGCCATTAAAATAAGGCCTAACTAATTTGTAAATAAAATTACGGACGTTCAAAAGTGCCAGTTTGTGCGATTTTTTTCAAGTTTTTGTCCAATTTCTATCACGTAATCATCTATGAAATAACTTATGAAGACAGATGTTTTTTTAAAGAAATAAATCATATGTTTGATAAACTTAACTAAATTGTCACTTATATTTAAAAATACTTTAAAGTCCAATGGGGCGAAGCACATTGAACTGAGCGTGACAAAAATTATTACATGACTTCTGCAGATAATTCCCTTTAATTTGACACATCAATCATCAAAATCGGTTTATAATAAAAGAGTTTTGCTGTGCACAAGAAATTCCTTACGGAATTAGAATAATAGAATAGCTGTTTTCATAAATGCAAAAAAAATATAGTGCTGCACTCTGTTGGTAAATCTTATAACTTTTTAATGCTTTTCCATATCATAGAACCAACTTTTTTAGTTGAAACAGCTGACTAAATTCTTTAATTCTCTTTAAATATGAATACTCATAAGGTTAACATGGGGAATTACAGAGCCACTGGGGCGGAGCCCGAAAGGATTTTTGAGATAAGAATATGCCTATATGTTAATCGGGAATGTAAGCTATCATAATGACAAATTTCAGCCCAATCGGTCCAGTGGTTTATGCGTGATTGAACTTCAAACACACAAACTTTCACATTTATAATATTAGTAAGATATATAATATATATATTTATACATATTTAAATATATATATATATATATATATGTCCATTAGCGCGATAACTCGAGCAAAAATGATCCGATTTTGATGAAATTCGGTACAAACAGGTAAACCTACGTTTATTCTAACGAGTTCGCGATCCAGCATCGGACCATGGGAACGGGGGTTTATAAGGGTTTTTATGGGTTAGAAATTGGGTTTTCCCATTTTCGACCCTAAAAACAAACAATTTTGCAATTTATTTTTAATCAGTTTTGTAGAGCTTAAAAAAATAAATAATTTAGTATATTGAAGTGCTATTGTATGCCTAACGGTCACGGAGAAAATTAAAAAATAGTGTAATTTAAAATTCCCATGTTATTCTTATGGAGAAAATGAAAATTGTTGTAGTTTACTTGTTTATGGATATATATTGATAAAACTTGGCAAATTTATTTATTTCATCCTATACTATTGACGTATGGTCAAAAAAAACTTTTTAACCTCCCCGTAGCAGCAAACCTAAGCACTCGTTAAATCTAATGTTATTTAAATAGGGAAGACAAGTTGAAATTCGCTTAGTCTGCAGGCTTGCTGCGGTGGGGGTATTTGAACTTAGTATTGTTTGATAGGGAATTACAAATCTATATCTATAATACCCCCGCCGCAGCAGACCTGTAGACTAAGCGAATTTCCATTTGACTGATTTGATTTACACTGAAATGTCTACTTAAAAATATAACATTTATTCCCGATTTAAATAGAATTAGTTTAACAAGTACTTAGGTTTGCTGCATCAGGGAGGGTAAAACTGTTTTTGTTTGTAAAATGTTAATAGTTAGTAAGAAATAAAAACGTTTTCCAAATTTGATCAAAATATGTTCATAAACAAGCAAACTACAACAGTTTACTTATTCTCCATAAGAATAACATGGGAATTTTAAATTTACAATTTTTTGAATTTTCTCCGTAACCATTAGGTGCATAATAACGCTTCAATATACTAAATTATTTGTTTTTTTAAGCTCTACAAAATGGTTTGGAAAGAAATTGCTAAATTTTATGTTTTTTGGGTCAAAAATGGGAAAACCTATTTTTACCCCATAAAACCCCCCGTAAACCCCCGTTCCCATGGTCCGATCATGCTGGATCGCGAACTCGTTCGAATAAACGTAGGTTTACACGTTT